ACCCTAAATGGGTCATAAATTCATTAAGGAGAGAAATGACACTCACACTCAGCTCCCCTTCTTCCCAAATTGAATCAGGGAACTCTGGCAATGAAACCCTATTCCCCAGGCAGGGGGAGTGCAACCCTGAGGGGGAGGACAGTGAGAGAGAGCTATCCAGAGGGCTGAAGGCACTGTATAAAACAAACTGCAAAAGACCATGCCCTAGAAACAGCTGGGTGGCAACCACTGAAAAGTTGGCCAAAAAAGGCTAAAAAATTCAAAAAGAGCAAAAAAGGGAAATAAAAGGTATATAAAAAGATAACATATAGCAGGTATTCATCCTCTGCCTCAAACACCTCCCCTTTTACTGAGGAAGGGGACCTCTCAGATTGAGGCTCTGAGCAGAACATGGGGTGGGGGGGGGAAGGTAAAAAGGTTTTGGCCCTCTGAAGCATTTGAAACCTTGTGCAAAAAGGTCACATCCACAATCCAGATCCAACCTAAATAGGTGCTAGAAGATAGGTATCCCTTTAGGCTTGTCTTCTAAATCCTCTTCGGAGACAGCAATCCCACCGCATTCATACTTCAAGGATGTGATCAGAGAGGAATGGGAAACCCCTAATAAGGGCAAACACATAAGCAGGTATACACTTAGGTATTACAAACTGCAAGAGCCAAAAAAAATGCCATTAGATATACCAAACATTAGTGCTGCAGTGGCATTTCAGGTAAAATATATAGTAACACCATATGAAGGGGACTGGGGATTTCTTTCCCAAAGATCCAACTGATATAAAGGTAAAAGACATCCTAAAGAAGGAACTTTGAGGCTTCATTGACCACCCTTGGAGCATCTCTGGCAGCTACATGCTTTGCAAGAGCCACTGTGTCCTGGCTGGATGTCCTTAGTGCTATGAAAGAGACCATCCTGACTTCCAGTCTACTCTTACGAAAATGTCCCTAGCAACAGCTTTTGTGGATGCGTCAATGGATGCAATGAGATTTTCAGCCAGGGACATGGCATCCAGCTCAGCAACCAGATGACACATCTGGCTCCACAGCTGGAAGGTTGACATTCACTCCAAAAAGTCCTGTGCTTATCTAAATTCACAGGCTCTCTTTTCTCTGGGGAAGAACTAGACAAAATAGTGGCAGAAAGCTCTGCCAAACCAAAACAATCCCTCCTCTCAGTGCTCTAAAGAGGAACTACAAACCTAGCAACAAAGATTGTCAGTCCTCCCAAATAAAGATACCAGAGGAAAGACAGCAGATAGATATGGGGAAAACCCTGGAACGGGATTGGGTGGCAAATCCAGAGGTGGTCCACTGCCTCTAAGAGCCTAGTACGACAACAAACAAACATCTCTCCACCCAAACCTGAATCTGCAAGGCAGAATTCTCCACTTCTCAGAATAATGGTTTTGATTGACCACAGAAGTGGGTGAGAGAGGTGGCATGTTGCAGATACTCCTCGAACTAAAGCCCCACCCTATCCCTTCTTCATCCAGTCCCCCATCTCAAAACAACAGTTCACTACTCGTACCCATCACTCCAATTTGGCTTTTCATTAGCCCCTAGGGTCTTCACCAAGATGCCTGTGGTAATAATAGCCAGACCTTAGGTCTCAGGGCACTCATCTGTTCCCTTTCTAGATGACATCTTCATTAGAGCTCCCACCCAAGCAGTGGCACTCAGTGCCACAGTCTGGATGCTGAATCTGCTTCAAGCATATGGATTTATGATAAACATCAAGAAGAGTTCCTTGATTCCCTCCACAAAGATAGTTTACCTGGGAGTGGAAATAGAAACTTATGCTCAAAGGTCTACAAATCACTGGACAAATACCACGAGATCCAGTACCTGATATCCATGTTGCTAAATTATGCAAGGCCGACCATAATGTCTACAGCTACTGGGCCTCGTGGTTTCATGTTCAGAAATCAATTCATGAACAAGGTCCCATATTACGTGCTTCAGGGCTTTTCTCCTGAAAGTATGGAACTGTTCACCTGGAAGCATGTAAGATGAGATACTGGATCCAAGCCAGGTGCTGAACTCTGTAATATTGTGGACAATCCCACAGAATGTCTGCAAGGGACTTCCCACATGCCTTCCAGATCCGCATATACTCACAACTGATGTCAGCCTGCTGGGATGGGGAGTGCATCTGAGGAACAGGACAGTGTAAGGCACCTGGAATCCCAGAGAAAGGAACAAGAACATCAACCTATTGGAGTGCAGAGCTGTCAAGCTAACTCTACAGAAGTTCCAGAACTACCTAAAGAGGAAACGTTCTCATCCAGCTGAAAAAAACGACCACTGTGGTGTGTATCAACAATAAAGGGGAAACCAGGAGTGTAACTCTGCATGCAAAATTGATGGAGATAGTGGAATGGGCAGAGAGGACTCTTCTTTCCTTAAAAGCAATACACATAAAGGACAGCAGAACTAAAAGGCAGTCCGGCTCAGCAGATGCACAGTCAACAGCTCAGAATGGTGCCTGAATCAGAAATTTTTCTCTCTGATTTTGCAGTATTTCAGCAGGGAAGCAGACCCCAACTCCCTGGGGATGGATGCTCTTTTGCACAGATGGCCACAAGACCTGCTATTCACATCCCCACCTTTTCACTTCTAGGAAAGGTGATCCAGAAGATAAAGCAAGAAGCAGCAAAGGTAATAATGCTAGCTCTGCACTGGCCAAGGAGGCCAAAGTTCTCCGATCTGATAGAACTGAAGTTAGAACCACCATTGCAGCTACCAGTGTGACCAGACATCCTTTACCAAAGTTCAATCCTTCATCAAGACCCAGACCATCTACAACTGACAGCCTGGCTTTTGAGAGGGAAGTGTTAGCAGCACTTCCAAAGTGCTTGGAACTCTATTCTTCTCCTCCAGGCAAGCTTCAACACTAAACGCCATCTGGACTAGGTTTAGCTTGTGGTGTTGAACACAACAAAAATCCCAAGGATCCTGGTATCCCAGTTATCCTGGGCTTTCTTCAGGAAGCAGATGAAAAAGGACTTTAGCCCAACACAACAGTGCACCAGGTGTCAGTTATAAGTAACAACCTATTCTCAGGATCCTCTGATTCCTTGACAGAGAGCCCTCAATTATCTTGATTTCTCTGAGTAGTGAGACTGGCTAAACTTGCAGTTAGATAACAATGCACCCTTTTGAGCCACTGAAATTAATATCTCTTCTACCTATCCATCGAAACCTGTTTTCTGGTAGCCATCATGTCTGCTAGATTAGTTTGTGAACTAGCAGCTTTATCCATGCAGGGTCCCCACTGTGTGTTCCATGATGACAAGGCTGTGTTAAGAACCCCAGAATCATTCTTATCTAAGGTGAATTTGTCATCCCATGCCTCAGAGGAAATCGTTCTCCTTTCATTCTGTCCAAAGTCATGGCATCCAACAGAAAAGATGTGGCACTCAGGTGTTCAAAGAGCACTAAAGATCTATACGAAGCATACCAAAATCGACAAGAAGATTGGGCTCCTTGTTTGCCTTCGTTCATCCAGAATATCAAGAACTCAAGATATCCAAGCTGTCACTAGCTAGATGGATCGAGCTATGCTTCATAGAAGCATACAAGATGTCAGGTACTCTTGTTCCACATGGAATCAAGGTACACTTCACAAGGTCTATGGTGATTTCTTGGGCAGAAAGAGCTTGTGCTTTCCCTGCAGAGATCTGCAGGGCAACAACATGGTGATCAGTTAACATCTTTATTAGGCATTTTAAAATAGACTTTCTGTTCTCTGTAGAAGCCTTCTTTGTCAGCAAGGCGCTGCAAGCAGTGGTCCTATAATAGCATTGCCATTTTGGGCAATTAACTCAGCGTGGGCTGGGGCCAGGCATTCTGTTTTTCTAATCCCTCCCTGTTTCTGTTCACTGATCCCCATACATATCATAATTGCAGGAGATACTGAGCTGCAGAATGGTAAATTTCTTATCTGATAATTTGCTTTCTGCAAGCAGCATCTCCCACAATTCCATCCACCCTGGATGGCTTCCTAGCCAAAGGAATTTAATTTTGATAGTTAGGCTTGTAGACTACTGTACATAGTTTACTGGTTGGCACTGAAGTTATTGTTACTAATCATATTCTACACGTTTTTATACAGCATTGGGATGAATCATCTGGCAGCAGGCCAGAGAGGGGGTTGTGACTATCACAGGCTGTGCTACAACTTTGAACTGCTTCCAGAAACTGCAGACAGGAAGGGATAGCCCATATAACAGAATTGTACCATTCTGCTAGCAGTGTCTCCCACATTTCTTACCTGAGAATTTCCTTTCTTGTGCCTTGCTAGAAACCTCCCTCCAATTTGATTCATTGTTAGTTAACATTACCCTTTGTTTACCTGTCAGCAAATTATGACAAATCATAATTTTTCTCCCTTCTAGTTAGCCAAATAACTCCTAAGTCACTGGTAGGGCCAACATGTTGGCCCCAAGGGTTAGCAGAGGAGTGGACTAGATATCTCATAGAGCTTTGCTAACACTAATTTCAATTACTATGAAAACAGTTTATTTTTTCCATTAAACGAAGTGATATATATCATTATCTAATGCCTTATTCCCCACCATTTGAACAGAAACCTAGTACTTTTAAGATCTAGCAGTGAACTACTTGTTACCAGTACCAAAATGTTCAATCCATGAATGATGTCAAGGTGTAACAGAACTAAGACACCATTAAAGCATAGAGGTAGTTCATCTGCCTTTACTGTGGATCCAGAAAGAAATGTGATAAGTTTGTGCTTTTCCAGGGCCTGGGTATTGTCAGACCTTTACATTAAACTCACTAAATCTCCATAAATCTGTGGTACACTTTCACTTGCTCTCTAGACTTTGATGTTAACTGGCTCCAACAAATGCCTGCATTTATTGACACTAATTGGTTCTAGCAAACCAGGACACTAATTGCTTCTGGCTAGCCAATATTTTAAAAATCCATTATTATTTTATTTTGTATTAAAGTTTTTTTTTTTTTTGTCTTGAAATATCTAGGTTGGATTCTGTATTAGGTTTGTTGGTCCTTGGAGAGGCTGCCAAATTAAACTTGTCCTGCTTGAAGGTTTTAATGGATCTAGTGAGAGATTTTATTTCAAGCTCTGTGTCTCTTCAGAAGCAGGTAACAACAGTACTAATTTAGATGTAGCAAGAAAATGTGTTTGTTGCAAACACTAAATTGGATAGAAACAAAGCATTTATTTTCTTTACTATTTAAAACTGAAGGTCATGCTATTCTTAGTACAGTATTTTGAGATGGGGATAGAATGAGCAGACCAGTTATTTCAATAGAATAAACATCTGGAAGCGTAACTCTCCTATTCTTTAACCACTATGCATGTCTGGTGAATAATTATTTCCTCTGCTATACTATGCACTCACTTCTGGGGCATTAATGTGACTAAATATGACATTAGATTATAGTATACGACTTTGCTCCTATTGTATAGTATACAGTTCTTTTGTTAGAACTTGGATTTTGTCACAGACTCTCTAGGTATTTGATGGAAGTTTTATATTTCTACTAATAGAAAGACAACTGCATGAAAAATCTATCATCCTGGCGCTGGGAAATAGGCTACATATACACCACTGTGCTCAGAGACATTTGTTTAAGTGGTATTACCTCAGATTTACAAAAGACAGCTTTTCTTGGATTCTGTGATTGTACAAAACCACCTAAGCATCCAGAAGAATTAAGTGGAGCAAGTTTTTTTGACCTTTTGCACTACAGTCCGTCACATGATCCACATGACTGTAAGTACCAAATAAGAACCCCCACCCCCTCCCACACACACATACTCCTGCCAATTTTACAAATATGGTAAGCACATGAAAAAAGTTCAGCTACAGAAAACTCAGTTTGATGCCCAGTCTTCACTTCCCTGAATATTTGGGGATAATTTGCTGCTTATTATTTGCCCTATGGTGTTCTATTTAATATAGGTAATATAAGAATCCAGGTGTATTAACTATATTGTATTTACATTGTAATTATTCTGAGTCATATATTCTTAGATGAATAAGTGGTAGTTACAGGTATCAACGAACAAAAGCAAAGCACAACTGCACTGTAATGTCAATGTAACTACATGGTAAATTACAATATACAGTATACTATTCCCAGCTCTTCCAATGGCCTGCTGAATGACCTTAGGCAAGTCACTTAAACTTCCTTGCCTCAGTTTCCCTATCTGTAAAACAAAGGTAATAATACTGACCTCCATTTGTAAAATGCTTTGAGATCGACTGATGAAAAGTGCTCCATATAAAAGAGCTAAGTATTATTATTCTTATCTGTGACCAAGAAATTAAATAAATAATGAATAAGAAACTAGAAACAGAAGCTCCTCTCTCTTTGTGTAAACTCTCAAAATCACCCATTACCAATTCTTTAACACCTTTAATTTATTTTACACTGAAAACATGGCATAGGGTGCAGAAAAGATTAATATATAGTAAAACCTCTCTCTTTCTACCAACATCAGTTTAATATATAATCTGGATGTCTAAATATGTGGACACATGACTCATATGGGCACACAAGTGACTGCATGATTGCGTTTGCAAATATCATGATTGCATACACAGTTATACCATAGTTACATACAAACTGGATAAAGATAGAAATGGCTGGTCACCTAATTATCCTTGGAATGTGCAATTGCAGGATCAGTGTCTGCAAATGGAGGACTTGCACACACTGTCATGGAAGCACTGTTGCATATGCATATTATGTGCACATATCTGGGCTAAATACTTGAGTTTTTAGCCTCGTACATATGGTAGATTGGAGTGATTACATACTTTTCAAGGAAATAAAGGACAGGTTAATAGAAAAATACAGGATAAAACTTGTTTTTACGGGACAGCACTTCACAATATTGTATTCATGGACCAAAAATCATATATTAGTATAATATTGTGTGACCCCTTTGCATTATTATTACTTTAAAACATGCTTTTTATCTTATCAGATGCTTCTTAGTAGTTCTCCTGAATTTACAATAACTCAGAAAGCATGTTACCATTAGAAGTTTTAGCTACCCAGAGAACGCTATGTCCATGACAGATGCCAATGAAATCTGAATGAGTATAAATATTTTAATTTATTTTCAACTCTAAAAATTAATCTCCTTCATTCCTCCTACCACCACTTTTCTGTCACTACTGTACTACTCCATTTATACCTTATGCATAGTACACAGATATGCATTTATTGCAGGTAAATGATCATCTCCCTCTTTTTAACCCCCTTTCAAAGTTACTTGCTCACTGCTCAGATCAATCAAAAGGCTTTGTATGTCTCTTTTTGTATCTCCTCCTAGGAAAGGTAGTAGTCCTCTGACTCCTTTTGTCATGGCTTTCAGAATCCATTCTCCTTTTCTTTTTGTCAGATGTGCTCAGGGAAAAAATGCATTACACAAAAAGCCTATTATTAACCATAGTATTTCTCTAATAGTCCTATGCATCCTAAATGATCTTCCCACATAGCAATGTCAGTGACATCTGTCATAAAAATAAAGCCAAATATATGTATTTTTCATTTTGGAGACATTCTAAAAAGCCTCACCACCTTTACTTATCAGGCTTAAAAAAACGTTATAAAAATTAACTTCTTAACAGCACATCTGACCTGGATAGGTAAAACTTCACTGTTCTTTTTTTTCCTGATTTCCTTTTGAGACTATAAGAAATGCACTGAACTCGGGGGACTGAGGAAAGAGGGATACAAGAGAGATCTGTTACAACCTCTGCCTCTCTAATGCCTTTCTGGTATGTTGGGATGTATCATCACAACACACCAATCACTGCTGGTGCCATTAAGGAACTTCCATGTATGTTTCGTTCCACAGGGAAGCCCCAGAGCTGGGTGAGATTTGGAATTAGGAACCAGCCTGAATTCAGCAAAGACACGAGATCAAAAGATGGGGGGAGTCAGGGTCAAGGCTTGTATTGGAAAGGAGTGAGAAACTGGCCTGACCTGGGGATACGAATGATTTTGGATTCAATTTTGGGGGAAACTAGAGGTATAGATTTTTTTAAGGATATATCGGGGGAGGGGGGAAGAGGGAGGAAGGTTAAGTCAGTTGAACCAAGCAAATCATGTAAAGCACTCAGATACTACAGTGAAGGGCATGATAAGGAAGCCTAGGTAGATAGAAAAATAGATTTTAAAAGGTTCAGGAACAGTGTTGTGGTTTGAACCACTTCTTATTTGATAAGAACTAACTGACCATCTGTAGTGTTCACGTCCCATGAATAATTTAGGCAAAAATGTGCATTGAAGGACAGTGAAACCTGAGGACTAATTGACTGAACCCACTTACCTGGAAACAGGCAGATGGACTCTAAGCTAATAATTATGTGCTTAAGAAAAAGTACCATGGAATTGTTAATGAACATACATCAGAATATGGGCTTTACGTCTCTTCCAAAAATAAATAAATAAATAGGACACTCACTATATCACCCTACCAATAATCACACAGTGTTAGGGCATTGTTTGAGAATTCATTCAGGGCAAAGAGTGACATCTACTGAATGTCTTACAGCTTCTGGGTTTTTCCCTAGAGGTCTCCTATCAAACTAATGACCACCTTGGGCCCTGCTTAGCTAGTTAGACATGATGAGATGATATTCCGAGGCTCTCCATATAAACACAGTATATACACATACATCTGTAGATTTATTGCTTACGATGGGACTGAGATACTGGGCCTGTCAGAGTTCCCAACACAGGGCACAATGCCTGTCTTACCACTTTGTTGAAAAGCTGAACCTTCAAATTTTTCCTGAGCTGGCATGGAGCAACATTATCTGGATTTGAACACCCTTTGGTAGCTCACAAAATAACTGAAGATGACAGGTCTCCCATCCATCATCACTGTCTCTTCAATCATAGCAACAATTGCAGAGCTCTTGTGAAGTGGTTATTAAACTCTAGCTTTGAGAGCCTGTCCTCTGCATTTACACCAGGATTGCTACATAGAGACTCCTGAAGGCTAAAATCATGATCAAGGGAAGATATAAAAACCAGAGAAAAGTGTCACATTGATTTCTGAAAGTAAAAGAGTAGACCTTTTCAAAAGTTATACATTCCTACCTCTTTTTTATCCTCAAGAGAAACCATAACTGGGGAATGAGCATGCTAAAATCAAATCAAATCAAATCTTTTTTTTTCTTTTGGACACTATTAACTGAGAACATTGTGATTGGGTTTTTTCTTCTCTTGTTATAAAATGGGTTTGCACTTTTAGGAAATTAAGGTAGAATATAAAGATTTATCTTAAGTCAGTGTAAATCTTCAAAACATACTACTATGTTCCTTCACCACAGAAGACAGATTCTCAGGAAGAGATACAAGTAGCAGCAATGAGAAAAAGGCAAACCAAAAACACTGTCACCCTGTGGTAATACACATAACATAGCCCTAGAACAGTTATGTCTCCATGATACAGAAACCTATTACTGCATATACAGTCTACTTGTATTTTAATATACACATTACATATACAGGACTATTGACCCACTTGATCTCCCCCTAGTTAAAATTTTCCAACTTGGTATGGCCAACTACACCTTCCAGGACTCTGCCAAAACCTCAAGCAATAGAACTATACACCTATTCAATCTAGAGGAAGTCATCCCAAGGGGAGATACATATAATAATCTCAATAGATGTAGAAAGAAAACTCATTATAAATACCTATGGCAGTGATTCTCAACTTTTTTCATACTATGTTATAACAGACATTTTTTTTAGTAGCCCTCCTCCCATAAGTTTCAGCAGCCTCTCCCATCTCACCATTCAGAAAGTGAGGGTGATAGCAACTCTCTGTGATTTAAGGCCAAATTCTGAAATCCTTACACAGTTTTCATTTAAGTCTTACTTGGACAAACTCCTATTCAAGTCAGTGGGAAGTCTCTTTCTGTATCCAATCCGGTATTCCTGATGCTGCTGGGAAATCACACAACTGGTTACCATCAAGAAGGTAGCTCTGTTCTAGCCTAGCCCAGTTCTCAGCTTGTGTAGGTAAAGGGATGCCTCAACACATTAGCTTCACTACAGCAGCTCTCTCTTCACCACCTCAGTTCTTCAAACCTTAGCTAGCCATTTCTCTGCTAGATTATGCTGGGACTCTTTTCTTGTCTCCTCCTCTCTCCTGCACCATCTCCAGAAGCAGCAGGACCCCTGCTAACCAACCCCTCCCTCCAGCTGGGGGGCTTCATTGCCATCCTGACGAAAGTGGCTTTGCCTGGTCTGCTTCCACACTATGCATGCAGTTGTCCCCTATATCTCTCAGTGCTCATGGCTTGGTGTCAATCCACTCTGTCCAGGAAGGGCCCACTCAGCGAGACTGCCAAGATGTCCAACAAAGATGGAGTTGGGTGGGCTCTGCTCCTCCTGGGTGTGTCTTTTTTCCATGTTCCCAATGTTTTCCTTGGCCTCACTTTTGGCAGCCCCGTAGAAGATTTCATTGGAACAGCTAGCAATGCTTATGGCCAGAAGAGGTATTTTCCTAGTCTGTTGTTCTCAGATCAAGAGCTGACATTCATATGGGCATCATTATCTATTCCAGCTAAGGTTTGCAGTCAGTCCAGCTGTATGTCATTTGTTTCAGTCAGCACATGAATGTTTTATAAATATTCATAACTGCTGATTGTGTGAGGACAGGTATATGAATACTGCCACAAATCCTGGACTTGAGTTCAGCTGTCCCGTTATAAATATTCCTCTGAGCCAACTTGTCTTC